AGTTCTGGCCCATAGCAAACTGTATAGGATTTCTGAGGAGCAACTAAGGAGCTTGAACCACTGACCTTGTGGTTCAAACCAACTTTGAAGTCCAGCACATAGAAAAAGTAGGGAGAGACATAAATAGAGCTATAAAAGAGAAAAAATATGAGAGAAAATAGAAGGGAGGGGGAAGCCACTTAAGAATAACTAAAAAGAGAAAAGAGGGACAGGAAAATAGAGTTATAGGAGAGGAAATAAAGGAAAGAAATTTTAAAAAGAAAAAAAAAACTGAGAAAAACAGGCAGAGGGGAGGTGAAAAGAGAAAGAAAACAGAGTAGTAAAGAAAAATTAAAAGGGAAAAAAAGAGAGAAATGAGAAATAGAAGAAAAGAAGGAAAAACAAAAGCAGATTTAGGATATAAAATTCAAGGGAATGGAAAGAGAAGAGGAAGGAAGAGAAAGAATACACAAGCAAAAACAGTGAAATAACTAAAGGAATAAACCAAACCCCAAAACAACAATAACAAAAACAGTTCTGCTATTGGACTATAGAGGAGAAAATTCTGGGGAGCTCTTGCAAACCAAGTTCATGAGGAGGTTGTGGAAAGGATATGACAGAGAAGTTCCTAGCCCTAGATGGAGTTCCTGTTGGCCTCTGTGTTATCTGTGTTCAGGGCACTGAATCCAGAAGTAGTTCATGGAGGCCTTTGATGGAGCTGATTTCAGTCTCTATTAGGACCATGGGGTAGTGGTCAGGATGACTGGTTAAATGCTGGTTTGGCAGCTGTGTGGTTCTTTAGGTCTGGAGCCAACCTGCCTGAATGCAGGCAGTCCCTGCCTCACACTAACAGGGCTCCCAACCACACTGCTCCACACTCGCAGAGAACAGTGTGTGCACTAGGGGTGGATGAAGGTGGGAACCGGCTACACCTCTAATCGCCCAGGGAGACTGGGGGAAAAGAAGGAATCACCTTTCTTTCGCCTATGTGAATCTGGTGGGTCAGGCAACCTTCTTTGGCCAAAGCTGTCACACAATGGTCATGCCACATCTTGCTAGCTATTCACCAAGCTATCTCCTTCCCTCACCTTTTCTGCTCAACTTCTCCTCACAGTGAGTACTCAATCCGCTTCTCTAATGTTTCCTCTGAAGCTCAGGGTTCCAGGATTTTCATGTGTGTCTGTTCCTTTGGTCTTTTGTATCTTTGTTGTAGAGGATCCTTGTAGTGCATCTGCCTAGTCCTCCATCTTTCCAGAAGTCTTCCAAGACATATTTATTCTTAAAAACCTTTAGAATTATAGTTGGATCATTATAATTATACCTCAGTTAAACTGTTTAATGAATAGCTATATGCAGCAATATTAATGAGTCTTATAAATATAATTTCTACTAAAGAAAAAGCAAATTGAAAAGAATACATTTAGAAACAAGATATGTTTGCTCTGTAAACCTTCACCCAATTTACACTAAAAAGTTATATATATATATGTTATGACCCTATTTATATTAAGTGCAAAATCAAGCAAAACTAAAATATGCTGTGGAAGGGTACATATGTTAATTATAGAATATATGAAGAGAAGTAGGAAGTAATCACCTTAAAAGTCAAGGTAGTGGCTATTTGGGAAGTGAGAGATGGTTGGGATCTGGGATATAGTGGTGGGGGCAGGAGCAGCTCCTAGGGTGTTAGTGATTTACCTGGGTGATGGTTACAAGGGGGTTCTCTTCCAAAGTATTTGAAAGTGTTCATATGTGTTACGTTTTTCTGGCTGTTTGTCGTATTTGAAGATTTTCTTGGTGGGGAGTTATAGGCAATGTGAAGAAAATAAATTAACCAGACAGGTTATCAGCTCCTACCAAAGTGACTCATGTCCAGGCCTGGCTCCTTTCCCAGTGGCGAACAGGGGCAGACAGGAAAATGGGGCTGAGACTGAAGATGATACAGATCCAGTGGTGAGGGGGTCTGGAGGCTAGAACACAGTATACTGCTTGTCACTGGGCTTGTGGCTACTCAACATATTCCTACCTCCACCAGCTTGTGGACTTGAATCACTGGGTATCTTCCCTACCTTGGTCAGGGAAAGGGCCTCGGTGAGACTGTGAAAGATGTGAGGAAGACTGAAGTGACACAATGGGTTGTGAGGGACAGGGCCACACTGGGGACATGTCTCTCTCTGTGAAGACTACTGTTAGCAGTTTGCTTTCTATCCTTTGAATTTTGTGTCTTGTAGAGAGCCATTCATACATTCATACATACACTCTTATGGCCCTAGGTGAGAGGAGGAAACCTTCAGTCTTTCCCTGTAACCAGAGGCTGTTTGCTCCCTCAAGTCTGGGTCTGATTGCTCTCTCCCTTGGCCCCAGACAGACCGTTTCTGCTCTGGTTGTCTCTAATCTGGAGCTTCACAGCCCTCACGGCTGCTCCCAGAGTGAGGCCCTGGGCCAACACACAGAAGGGACCACAGCAGTACTGAGTTACTAATGGCACAATTTTTTAGGCCAGGGATTTAAAGAGGCCCTGTTTATATACCATGGAATCACAGTTCATTCCAAGGACTCCAAAGCCCCTCTTGGCTGAAATGGCCCAGACTCTCATTGCCTGAGGCCTGCCTGGGGCTACCTGGGTGGCCATTGGCTTTCTTGATAAGAACAGATGATAAACAGTATGTTGGATGCAATCTCCCTTCTCTACAGCCCAGCTGTCAGTGATGGCCTGTAGAAAGAAGCAACTCAGATTTCCGAAGGAGCAGGTTTTAGTTTGTGTGAATGGTGTCCCCCTGGAGTTGTGTAGTACACAAATTGCATGGCCATACATAGCAACTCTGCTAACAGGCAAAGATGAGAAAGTGGATGGAAACTATCCTTGGAACTTAATATGTTCCAGATATTTTTCATAAAAGTATTACCCACTTACACCAAAGAGCAAACTGATTTACAGTTGTTAAAATGGCTTTACCAGGGCCACACAGCTAGTCTGGAGATGGGCTTCAAACCTTAGTCTAGAAGACCAAAGTTTACAGAGAAGAAATAGATTAGTGAGTACTTAAGACTGGGGTGGGAGGAAGCTGAGAGTATAGGAGGGTGAGAGTTAGAAGGTATCATCAGTTGCTGTGGAATCAGTTCCCACTCATGGCACCCCATCTGTGTAAGAACAGAACTGCGCTCTATAGGGCTTTCAATAGCTGATGGTTTGGAAGTAGGCCTTTCTTCTGAGTAGCCTCTGGTGGGGTTCCATGGAGTTGGTTCCAACTCATAGTGACCCTGCATAGGGTTTCCAAGGTTGTAAATCTTTACGGGAGCAGAAAGTCTCATCCATTGTTGTTGTTGTGTCGGTTCTGACCCATAGTGACCCTGTAGAGGGTTTCCAAGGAGCTGTTAGTGAGCTTGAACCACCAACCTTGTGGTTCAAATCAACTTTGCAGTCCAGCGCCATAACAAGACTCCATCCCACTGCGAATGCCTCAGCTTCTCTGCCCATTCTGTTTTTAACCCTTTACAACCACTTCAGCTACCCACTAGAGCTATGTCTCATGGGCCCTCTTTTTAACCTTACTTTCTTGTTAAGCATGTGACTCTATTGGCCTCCCCTTCTTTTGGAAATTCTCTTCCTTAGCTCTCAGGATACTGGACAGTCGTCTATTCATTTATCTGTTCATATCTATTGAGGGTTAACACATGGTAGGACTGGGCCACTGGAGCCAAAAAAGACAGCTCAGACCGTCCAGGGTGGAGGAGAAAGGCACACATTAGTGTACAAGTTAGGGACAGATTAGGAAGTACACCACTGTATACCTAACCCCTGCCCAGCTCAAAAAAAAAGATGCCAGCTCCCCAGAGTTCCTTCTAACTTTGTTCTTATGTGATGTTGAGTCACTTCCAACTCACAATGATCTCAAAATCTCCAAAACCATTGCTGTCGAGACATCAAGTGTCATCTCTAGGGTTGGTGTCACACACATTTCTCATGATCCATTTTGATCATAGAGTATGTGACAGATATGCTTACAGAGTGCTTAAATGGAGTATTTCTTAGGCTATCTGAATACTAACAACTAAATGGTTTTAGAAAGTCTTTCTTACATTGAATTACAGTACTAGTTACTCCAGTTCTCCAAAGGTAGGATGTCCAGTAGAGGGAGTGTAGAGGGACAAGAGCAGACAGAGGCCTTGCTGAGGGAAGGAGAAGGTAAAGGAACCAGCAGAGGGTCAGAGGATTAGCCAGAGAAGAAAGTGATGAGTTAAGTAGATGGTTGAAGGAAGGAAGGAAGGAAGGATGGATGGATGGATGGATGGATGGATGGATGGATGGATACAGGAAGGGAAGGACTGAGAAAATGGTTGCATAAAAGTTTCCTGGTGGAACTCACCTGAGAAATAAATTCAATTCCCCAGCCTACTTTTAGAACCTCAAACCCATCTGTGTTGTCCTGTTCTTAATCAGAATCTGTTTGCCCCACAATGACACGTGCTCCCTGCCACACCCCTTTCTCAGCCAGGTAGGACTCTGTGCTTCGATAGGCCCTCCCCTCTCTGGGGGAGAAGCAGCTTGAGTCCTAACTCACCACCCTCCTCCTGTAGGCTCTGTCTCTCATGGCGAGCTCTAGGGTGGAGACTGGAAGCAGAGGGGGGCACCCCCAGGGACAGGTGAGACATGAGGCAGTAGGATTAGGCCAATGCCCCTCTTACCTGGAGAAGATGCTTCTAGGATACTGTGGTGAGAAGTGAGGCCCTGTGCCCAGCACTTTACTCCTCACTGCCCCCTGCTCTGACTTCTCGATGCACGCTCTGCCCATTCTTTGACAACCACTCATCCCTAGTTACCTCAGAAGCAGTGCTCATCTCTCCCAGCAGGATGAGGAACTCCTCAAGAGCACAGAATGATGTCCTGTGGTGAGCACAGCACCCACTCGGACCACGCTGGACACACAGAGGGTGGGTGGAGGATCAAGGAGACAATGGCTGGCAACTTTGGGCCACCGTGGCCCCTCTGAAACAATGTGTGGGTTTTGTTTCCTGTGCAGACATCGTCAACTGTGACCTGAAGTCCACACTACGGGTGCTGTACAACCTCTTCACCAAGTACCGGAATGTGGAATAAGGGACCACCCTGGGCTCCCTGCTGCCCAGATCTTCTTGCTGTGGGCCGACTGGACCATCCTCCAAATCGCCTTAACTTGCTTATTCCTATCTCCCACTCTGTACTCTCCCACAAGTCTAGCTACAACCTGGTGATACTGGGAATTGAAATTAGGAAAGGAATAATATCTCAGTGGGCTGGCCAGACCTCCAAGAGCTAGGGAATGACCCCTTCCTAGTGCCGAGTCCAGATTACCCTCTGTACAGTATGAAAACCAGCTTAGGCAAAAGAGAAATATCGAAAATGAAAATAAAGACACTAGTTACCATTTAATGGGTGTTACTATGTGCTGGGCACTACCCTAAGTACTCTGTTACACTCTAACTCACTTACTCCATAGGATTCTCATTAAAGCAGGTAGTATAGTCCCCTTTGACAGATGAGGAAACTGAAACTTAGAGAGGCTAAGTGACTTGCCAGAAACTGAGATTTGCTTTTCCTCTTTGAATAAGATGTGTTAATAATCACTGCCATACTTGGTGGTGGTGGCGGTGGGTGCTGTGAAGTGCCGTTGAGTCAGTTCCAACTCAGACGCCCCCATAGGATTTCCGAGGAGTGATAAGTGGGTTTGAACTGCTGACGTTGTGGTTCACAGCCCAGTGCTTATGGTACAGAGCCACCACACGTTGCTTGGTGCTACATTATAAAGTTGTGACTGCGTGGGTTCTGAGTCCTCAGAGAAAACACAAGCCCGCTGTGATCTCACCTCCAGCTCAGGCACGACCAGGACTTAGTGATTCACATTGAAATTGGCAAATCGAATCTCACCCAATTAATAGTGTGTGGCAGGAGTCATGTCCCTCAAACCCTTTGTGCAGATGAAAATTACTCTTAATTCCTTCAGATTTGTAATAACCCATGCTCTGATTTCAGGGTGACATTTGGGAAGGATTCTGTTTAGAATTAATGGAGTGGCGTATTTTGCAGCCTTTTTGCTTGATTGCATGTAATGGGAATGCCCTATATTTTCCTGCAAAATAAGTACTCAATTCATTATCATTAGGCAAATGTACAATATATTCCGTCACCACAGAGAGCTGGGCGCAGGCCCATATGAGCCGCACTTGGGAAGTAGGGCTCTTCAACAGGGACCCTTGAACTTTAAAGAAAGGAACTCCTTTTTGCTTTCTAATTGATCATTTAGACCATTTCTGACTAAGTCTGCCCACATGCAATTACCAGCTAATTCAGGCGAGGAAAAATGCAAGTCATTTAGACCAAAGTGGAGTGGTTTCCTTGTGTGGGTTCTTCGAGAGCTTGTGGTTACCTGTATCCCCTCTACATAAGTCCAACTTTGAAATGTGGGCCTGTAATTGCCCCAGGCTGCTGGGTCCTATAAGAACAGGAAAGGGGTAGAAAGGGACAGTTGGTGGGCGGAGGAAGCATGAGGAAATATTTACTGTGTGTGTGTGTGTGTGTGATCACCCTTGGAGACAGATGGGATTTTTTTTGCCCTTAAATTGACTAAGGCCTTGGGATAAATCATTAATAATTTTTGCTGAGAGTCTCTGGATAGCACAAATGGTTTGCTCTCAGCTGGTAAGTGAAAAGGTTTTGATTTAAACCCACCCAACAGAACGCAGAAGAAAGCTGTGGAAATCTGCTTCCATAAAGATTCCCACCAAGAAAACCCTGTGGCGCACTCCGTAAAACATGGGGTGACCCTGAGTTAATATAGAGTTGATGACACGCAATAACAACCACAGTTGATACTACATCTTCTTTATAGAATTCTCACAGATAGTCACCAGCCTGTGGACCACCTCCCTCTGATTTGTGCCTGCCTTGTCACTACTTAGGGCCCAGTTCACAAAGTCCAGCTCTAGTTTGCACCTGAGGAATTCACTTGTGATCTCTATCTGCACTGCCCAAAGTTAGGCCTTCTGTATTGCCCAAAACATTCCTTTCAGCTCTCTCATCATTTGTTAAGGTCTATCTACAGCAACTAAGAACCCATAAAACCTAGATAAAGTACACATTTCTCTGGATATTTTGCTGTAAGAAAGAATTTTTGCTTAGTTGTAATGATGAGCATTGAAAATGTAAAGGCAATATATGTTTGTGTCCATTGATGTAAAAGAACGTAATTCTTCATTTGCATAATTAGTGAATATTATGTTTTTCATTAAGAAACACTATTTGGGGTAATATTTCTGTTCTTTTTTTAAATTCCTGATAGCAAATCAAGATAAATAATTGCTTTGCCTCCTTGAGAAATATTAAAGCTGTATGAAATAAGTAGAATGCATTCATTTAAACATGCTTTGCTGGAAGAATTTTACCTCCTTATTTGTGTTGTTTTTCTTTCTTATAGCCAAGCTGCAAATATTACAGAGGCCCTTATTAAAAGCACCCCTTTGTATGTTTACATATACACAGTAAACAAAGAGATTGGAACACTCAGAAAGTTTTTTAATAACAGATGTAGTTTATCAGAAAATTCTGTTTCAGACCTAAGATCTTATGGATCAATTGGGAAGGCGTAGGCCTGGTTTTATAAGCATGTTGTCTCATTTAGGAGTTTTCTTTTCAATTCTGGGACTCCTACTTAATGAACAGCTTACATTTAGGGAGCGAGCAAAAGGCAGAAGAACAGTAACGAAAGCAAACTTAGCCCTCATCTCTCTCAAACAAAGAAACCAAGGCAAAACTCAAGTCTCTATAGCCTTCTTGGCTACTGTTTTTTTCTTTTCTCTTTGTAAGTTTAAAGATATCGATTTTTTTAATAGGTAATTATTTGTTGTTGTTAAGTGCCATCGAGTCAATTCCAACCTATAGCAACCTTCTATAGGGTTTCCAAGGAGCAGCTGGGGAGCGTAAACTGCTGACCTTGCAGTCCAGCGCATTAACCCACAGCGCCATACCAGGTAATGAATTGTTGTTGTTGTTATGTGCCGTGGTAATGAATAAATGGTGCAAAATTCAAAAACCATGACTGAGTGCTTAGTGAAAACACTAAACTCTCTCCCTTCTCTCCCCACAAGTCCCCAGAAGCAACACTTCTGGGCAATTTTTTACATGTGATGTTGTTAAGTGTTGACGAGTTGGTTCAGACTCATAGCAACCCTGTATAGGGTTTCCAAGGAGCAGCTGATGGGTTTGAAGTACCGACCTTGTGATTAGCAGGCCAGTGCTTTTTCTACAGCGCCACACCTGGACTCTTACATGCACTTCCAGAAATACTTTAGGAAATAAAACACGAACATACATTTTTAAATCTTTTTTTTTTCTTACCTAAATAACATACTGACATATCATTATGCATATTGCTTTTGTCACTTACTGTTATATTTTGGAGATAGTTTTACATTGGATACTTTTTTTAAAGGAGGCTTGTTGACACAGGTTAAGTGCCTGGCTGTGATCCAAAAGGTTAGCCCCCTCACACATGGCTCCACGGGAGAAAGACAGAGTGATCTACTTCCATAAAATTTACAGCCTGGGAAACCTGATAGGGAATTTCAGCTTGTACACGCTGGGGTCACTGTGAGTCAAAATCAACTCGACAGAGCCTAACAACATTTAAAAAAATACTTTCACATTTTAAAATGAGGATATGCACTCAATGTGCATGTCCAAACGTACACCTGCCATCTACCTGAACTAGGGAATGAAACCTTGAAGCCCTACCAGAGGAGATGATGCTACATCAACAGGGATTTCAGAAGTAGAGACAGACCTATAGGGGATGGAGGCAGGTGTGTTCCTGGATCTGTTCTCAGGTGCCCTGAGCAGAATTTAAAACACAAAAACATGTCTTCCCTCTGATTTTCATGGTGAATTGTGTACAGTTTGATTAAGCTCTCACTTTTACATTTCTACATTAGAAAGTATTAAAAAATAATAACTTTCTGTTGAGCTGATTTCAATTCATGGCAATCCTATATGACAGAGTAGAACTGCTGCATAGGGTGTCCAAGGCTGTGATCCGTACAAAAGCAGATTGCCACATTTTTCTCCCATGGAGCAGTTACTAGACAACTTCCAGTATTTTGCTGTGAAGTCGAGCTGCCATCCATTGCTTGTCTCCTATATTAGAAAGCTCCTATTTCACCTGCACATGCATAGAATCGATGTGTCCGAAATCTGGGAGAAAGGTTCTTTGTTATCAGCACATCATAAGTGTCACCTTGAGTTCGTTGCTGTTATCAGTGTTTTTTAATGCTAAATCACTGTTAACTTCATCATTAGCAGTTGATTTTGTTGTGGGCTGCTTGGTTAACCCTACCAAGTTTACTGAAAGCTTTTTGCTTCAGTGAGTATTCTGAGGCTGTAATTTTCCAATAAGCAGAGGCTAAGGCATGTATACACTGTGGTTCAAATATGAATCATATTCCATTGTGAAATGAAATGTATACATAATCCACTTTCCCCAAAATTATCACTAATTTATTTTTCCACTGGAAAATGAAACTAGGTGACGTTGGTAGGTCAAGCAGTTTTTGCCTTGCCTTAGTGTGAGGGCAAAGAGATCTACTGGCCTAGGATAAGCACTGAAACTTCTAACTGAGAAGTCCACAGTTCAAACCTGCCAGCCGCTCCATAGAAGAAAGAGGAAGTGTTCTGCTCCTGTAAAGATTTATAGCCTCAGAAACCTTATGCAGGATCGCTGTGTGTCAGAATCACCTTGATGGCTGTGGGCTTGATTATTAAGTGTGGGGGCTGATGACTTTGGTGGTTCTGTAGTTAGAATTCTTGCTTTCTATGCAGGAGACCCAGGTTCAGTTCCTAGACAATACAATTCACGCATCTCTCAGTGGATGCTTATGCGTTGGTGTGTTTTTTTTTGTTTTGTTTTGTTTTGTTTTTTTTGCCAAACAAGTTTCAGCAGAGTTTCCATTCTATAATCAACTAAGAAAAAGACTTGGCAATATATATATATTTTTTAATCAGCCAATAAAAACAACCCTATGGGTCATAACAGCCTGACCCGTAACCAATCATATGGAAGACACAGGACC